AAGCCCAAATTAGATGTTGGCCCTTGATAACTTGCTGTTATTAGTTCATTAAACACAATAATAATGTATAATAATATGCTCGAATCACGTTGCCGTAAATATTATCAACTTACGGTTCTAAAATACATGAAATGTCTTGAATGATACTTCAATACTATAGCTGCCGTTGTGAATATTTAAGCACCGTAAAAAATCACCCTTAAAAATAAACATATTATAATCGTTGAAATGTATTCTTGAATTTGTTTGTTATTGCACGATAACGTAGTATGTGTATTGTACCTTTTTCGAGTGCTCTTAATACCGTCGTCGCCTTAATGGTCCGTATTATTATGAGTCGGCCAATGTCGGAAAAGTCTCGCTCCGACAAGGATAATTCGACGACAGATTATTGGGAATTGGGAAGGCTAGACATAATATAGACAGTTTTGTGCCCTTTCAGTTGTTCTGTCTTCTGCACTTTCTGTCCGTGTCGATGTACACGAATAACTGATATACTAGCGATGAAAATCGTAAAAACGCCAAAAGGTATATACTCCGCATTTGACAAGAAGGTCTTACGTCCCCACAGCACGTCTCACACTGAGCAAATTATGACTATTTATGTCAATTTGTGTAGTAAAACAAAATAAACCTACTTATATATTATACTAAATAAAAGCTAGGACTACTATAGTCAGGGCCGTATTCATAGGAATTTGACAACTTGGGGTGGCAGAAAAAAACGCCTTACTCATCGTACCGAATGAAAATTTAATATAATTTGAAAACTCGACATTTGCCGCCCATCATAATCAGTCACCCGGGGCAACAACACCCTGCCCCCATCCCCTTCCCTAAAATACGGCCCCGACTATAATATTATATCGGCATAACATTATTATTGCACGGTGTCTTTATTTCTCGTTTTATTTCAGAAGTAACAGCGTTTTTATCTTTAAACACTCATTGCGGAGGTCAACTAATAAAATATCCAAACAATTTGTTTAAAGATTTCATGTTGACCCTCGAAAATACTCAAAGTATAAAACTTGCCAGGGGCTTTTAGGAAATTGGCTTTTGCTTTCGTCTATACGTATCCACCTTGTGTTTCACTCTGCTCGTCCATTCTGTTTGGACACGGACAATTACCAATACAAATAAAAACCGTTTACACACACACGCCAGGGTACATATACCTAATGTATGTTCATCGTTTTATTGAAATTCCTTAAACTACTTTATGGGTACTCAATTAACGTAAATTCTATAAACTACTATTTTATTTGTTTTAATCACGGGCACACCGACTGACCATTAAACTATTCACATGCTACCATTGTAAACTTCCATCGACCCATCAGTACACCGTCGTCATGTTTATTTACATGGATAAACCACGTTAACTTCGCCTTAGACGTACCTACCAATATCAATCGCGTAACAAAACGTACATACCTGTTCGTGGTCATGCTGACCTAATTTTTACCGATTATATTTTCATAAACTAGGTTTACGCTAATATGCCTAATTGCCTAGCGCACGTTCTTTTGCCGAACACGACCCCCTCGATGACCATAAAAATGTTTTTGTAGTTTTTTTTTTCATTATTAGTTTACATCGAAAAACGCATTTTTCTACTATTACGTCATATAAAAATTTCGGCAAAAATTAAATGTCAAAAAGTTAAAACGATTTCGGCGGGTTACACACGCACGACCACTGTACCTGTACAAAATATGTACCGTAAATTATATGTATATACATATATATATATATATATATATATAAACATTTTATTTTATGTCAGTACGCCAAATGCATCGTATCCCTAACCGTTTTCGTTTTCCGAACCACGTAGCATACCTATATAATATGTTACATGCACCAGGACTTGTTCGAAAAATACGACCGCAACATAGCTTTATTATATTGGTACCTAAATAATGGTATACCGTTATTAATGATAATAATTCTGCAGTTACTCAGACTTCGAACGCAGAATGCTATTTTTTTTATTATTTATATATTACACTGTAGCAACTACTCGTCGAGTCTGGTTTTTATGAAAAAAAAAAAAATGAAATAGAAAAATATTGTCATACACAAATTGCTGTCATTTTTGTTTACTAATAACAGAGCAGGATGTACGACCAAGTCTTAGAAATTATATGTTCAAGAACGGTGTACCACGATATTACCGCTGTACACCTACCATACCGGACAGGTTTAAATTAGACGATTAGCAGTACCTGAGTGTATATACTATGTATATCAGTAAGAACTAAAAAGACGATTATTTTCAGTGCAAAGTGATCAAGTACAAGTGTTTTTTTTTCAAATAATATGCATTACAGTTGAGTTGGTACTTTGGTGAGCTACCTTTATGAATTAGGCTTTTATAATATTGAAATGTTGAACTTTAATATTGAAATTAGGTATCTTCAATGGCGTGGTTAAGAATTAGTTCTAGGAAATAAGGGTACCTCCGAGATTTAATTTGTTTTAAGTCATACATTTATAAGTGTGTTTTTATGTTCTTTAAATAATATTAAGATAAATTCAGTGTCTAGATTCTTTTTTTATCATATTTTTAAATGCACACTGTACAACCCAAAATCGTTTGTTATTCGATACTTTTTTTTATACATTCCGCATATTTGATGCACAGAATAAATAAATATAGTAAGACACGTTTATTGCGTAATACATTTATATCCTTACACAAATTATTTACTAATTTACTCTTCGAAAATACATTTATATTATAAAATTCTAATTATTTTAAAATCCATAAAATCTCTATAAACTCTTTACACCGTGGTTAATTGTGTGTGCACATGATTATAATATGGCTAAGTAATGATATTATTATAGTTATGTATTGCACAAAATCAAGAAATACTATGAGTGGGATTTTATTTAAATTTAGAGTTTTTTTTTAGTGATTGTATGTTGTTGATTATTATTGATCGGCAGACGTTTCACATATGGTCTATAAGATTTATCGTAATTATTATTATTATAGCATAATAACTAAACTAAATATAATGTATAAAGAATAACGTCTTGTAAAAATTATACATTTTATTGAAATACTGAATATTTTGGAGGTATATGACCTGTGCCTAGCTCTTCCCACATTCACATTAATATGCAACAGTATTATTTTGACGTAAAATCGAAGACTATTTAGTAAGGAAACACTGAAAGTTCTATTTTAATAAAATTTACGTAGATATTAAATACCATTTGTCCTTGAAATGTACACAATTATTTGCAAATATTTCCGTACTTGATCATCTAATAAGGACAATCAGTTTACTTAACTGTGAATCATGGACACACAAAGGAACAACAGGTGTCGAAGAAAATTTAATGGTCGGATTCGGATGGTATTGATTTATTATACATAGGTGTTATAAATACAAATTTAATTTCCGTTATTTAAAATTGTAATAGTATTACATTGTTCAGAAAGCCTGCTATCAAAATGATAAAGGGTTTAGAATAAGTATTTTCTATTCATATCTCTGGCATAGTATATCTGGTGTTTTCTTCAACGCTCAAGTAATCGCTCAACTGCTCAAGTATATTTTGAATATTTTCTATCGAAACCAATTTAAACATTCTGTGTATTAACATTTATTTCTAATTTCCATGCTTATTTCATATTTTACCCGTGTATTTTGTATTCAACTTAAGTTTATCGATTGTTGTTAACATTTTTCCTCGCCTTTTAATTTTAAAATCATTACTTCAAATTTGTTGCTTCAATATTATAACGGTGTAAAATTTTAAACCTAATATTAGAACTATTTTTCCAATACAAGTATCACTTAAAGAAGGCGTGCAAAGATTATATAATGGTTGTACTATGTTAACCTGTACAACTATATATTATGTTTTGCAATAAATGAATTAAATTAAACTAAAAAATAATAATAAATAATATAACAAGCACTATTAATTTAAAATGATGCGATTGTAACGTGTATATATAAATTTCTCATAGTCAAATACCCATATAGCAAATACAATTAAAAAACAACAATTTGAATTACACTTTCTTTTTACATACAAAAAATGAATTTTACATAAAGTTATTACTATATTGATCACTGTCACTGGAGCTGAAATACCTATAACTGACGTTTAGAAGGTATAATGAATATCATATTATTTAAATTAACTCCTGATGCAATCATAAATAATTTTTAATTTCTGAAATCTTTTATTTTCGTATTCATTTATAGTATATAATATTATCTGTATCAGAAAGTAGTGAAAATTCAATTCAAAGTGTATTGTATTTATTGAAATACCACGAAACAACTTCGGTATTAAAAATTCAAGTTCAAACCATGCGCATTCACTCACTATTTCATCAATGTACGTGTACGTTGAATAATATAATACACGTGTGGGTACAGTGTATTATTATAATATAAGTATTACGCTCTCTTTGATCCACCCACCAACCAATATATAACCAGAGTCAGAATTCATCATGTTAAAACTTAATATGCTCCGTACAGTCTATCCAGTTAATTCATATTACAATTACTTGTGAAATATTACTACTATTATTTCAATTAACTTACGAGTTATGGCGGGTATTTGATTTATCGTTCGATCCAACGTATAAATTCCCACAATGTCGACAATATAATTGTATTATTATTTTCCGAAATCGTCGGTGCGTCGAAACGGGAGGAAGTTATGATTTTGTATTTGTCACAGACGAGGCACCAATACTCAAAAACAAGTGGTTCGAATTATGTAGCCGTAATCATATTTTATTCGATCGCTGGTCGTCCGTTTTATTATATTTTCCCTATTAACCGTGGTTAAAATATTACTGTAATACGCGTACGGTCACCTATATATATATATCGATGTGGAATACTGTGTGAATAAACATATTACATATAGTTTAAATTTTTAATAATCTTATGAAAATGTGGGCGATTTTAATAATATCTGTTTTTTTTTTTTTGTTTTTTGTTTGTACTAAACAGGTGTGACCAGCATGTGCTTTGGGATGTGACGCCGGGTGGACGAGAGCATCGTGTGCGTGATAAGCTGTAGCTGGGTGTGCTATGCTAGCCGCCCGCAACGTTCTGCTCCTGTTGGTGGCCGGTTCGTTTCTCGTCTCGTCGGTCCTCACGCTACCACAAGACAAAGGTACCTTAGTAGATAAATATGATAAAATATTAAACTTGCGACAAATAGCATATTATATATTTTCCCGACTTTGCACTGTCAAAGCTTGAATATCGGAGAACCTAACACGTTGGAAAAAGTGGGAGGAGGCATGCTAAAACAAGAGTCGAATACGTATTTTGATTGAGATAAAAAAATTATATAGTCGTAAATAGAAAAAAAAACTAAGAAAAATCAAATGTTTCAAATGTCTATTATGTAGACAGATCAAAATGAATCAAAATATTTAAACTGGAAATAAAAATGTCTAGAAAGAGGTAAAAAACATTTATGGTAAAAATTAAAAATATAGTATTATAGGGACGGTTGTTCATTTTTAAATTGTAGAAAACAAAATTAAATTAATTTTGTCGATAACTTTTGTTTTAGCCGATGTTGGGTGATTGTTTTTAGTTTTATTTTATTATTTTATAATTATCAAAATCACTAGTATAATATTCATTTTACTTGAAACAAACTACAAATACAAATTAAATTTAAAAAACATAATACATCAAATATCAACCAATATTACATCGATTGGTCCACTCAGAATCTAAAACTAAGCCAAATTGTATGTACTTAGTCACGCAGTAGTAAATAATTAAAAATTTAATCAATATTAATAATAGTAGGTATAAGAAGATAATAACATAAAATATATTGAATATGATGTATGGGTTAAAAAAGACGAGACTATTATTCAATTTTAAATTTATAATTAAACTATCTGCCCGATCTTCCTCCGGAAGAAATTATTTTTTATAATTTAATTTAAAAACATAAGACTATTTTTTGGCTATACAAATAATACAATGATTATAAAATTAAAATAAAAGAAACAAACATCGTTATCGGTGAATATATGAAAATAATTGGTAATTAGTTAATTATTATTATTATTATAATGAGGGTTCAAACCCGGTTTCCTTCGTCTCCAAAATCAAGTTAGATTCTTATATATATAGATAATATAATGTTAATAATAATAATATAATATTATATTATATTAAAATGTTAAATATCGAATGATATAATTATAATCAAACTTGATTGTTATTGAGCAGTACGTACAAATATGTAAGTGAATTAAATTACTGACCGTATAAAACGCCATTTTAAATTATAAAAAAATACACTGATATTTAAAATTCTGAAATCATATTTATATACTGTTATTATACAGCGGTCATTTAAAAAAAAAATAATAAAACGAGGTCAACTTGATATTTTTTTTATTTTTTTCTGTGGTTTTTTCTGTTCATAATTAACCTTATATGTCGAGTAATTGGCATTTAATATTCACCACTTCCGATTTACCATTTCTACATTTCAAACATTAAATAAAGGAAAGAAATACAATGTGTAGCTAGGTATTTTCGGAAAAACGGTGTATTATTGTAGTTATTAATAATTATATATTTGATTTATCGATGTAGTATGAAGTTTAACAATATAGCGAATAATCAGATAATCTAGTAGTCCTATTTCTCGTCTGAAATAACTGACTGTAGCTGTGTGTAGCTATCCATAAATAACATAAGTTCACAATACTTTTGTTTATTAATAATGAACGATTTTGTCAATCCTTCAATACCTACCCTGTTATACGCATGCACGCTTGTATCAATATTGCATATACAAAGCGCCGTCACAGAGTCCAATAATTAGTTTATTATTATAATATTGTCATTGTTATTAAGCAGGGCTTGCATTTGAAAAATACATTTTGTTTTACGTTATTTACAATCAAAACGTTATACAAATTTTGAGTTTATCGTTATTCAAAATTTAAACGTTATTCAACTTTTGTGTTTATCGTTATTCAGAATTAAAACGTTATACAATTTTTGCGTTTATCGTTATTCATAATTAAAACGTTATACAATTTTTGCGTTCATCGTTATTTAAAATTTAAAAGTATA